TACTGTAGGTTTTTCTCGCTTCCTCTTGCTCCTCTAAGAAATCCTCTTCATCATCATCAGGAAAAACTGCATTTATGATCTCACTGATTACTTCGATGTTGGATGAGGCAGTGCTATTCACCATAGGCGAAAGGGTCGTAGGACGAAAACACCTTGTTACATGTTATCTTTTGAGTAGGTCCAAAGGCTTTAGTGACATTACTACAGTAAGTTCTCCATGAGATTAACTTGGCCTCTTTAATTTTTCTTTTATATAAAGCTCTGGCTTTATTGTATGTTATCATTTTGAGTTGCCGTAGATATGGATCTACCGTGGATTGTGCTTTTCTGCGAAGTGCTCGAACTCTGCTCCTCTCTGTGTTAAGCTCTGGTGACCACCAGGATATCGAGTGTTTTGCCTTTACAGATTTCAAACGATATGCTTTGTGGGCGGCTTGCACTATTTTTGTAACTAGTAAGTCGTAGAGATTATCTAAGGAGTTTCTGTCCTGGCAGTTGTTGAAATCTTTGATAAATTTCTCTACATGCGCTCGAATGTGTTCCCGTAAAACGGAATGTCCTCCAAATGCCGTTTTGAATCTTTTCTTTATTATGTAGTCTATAGGAGTATCCAGCCTGTAAGTAATAATTTTGTGATCACTGAGTGACGGCAGGTCACTCACTGTCCAATCTTGTATGTACGGAGTTGTATTGGGAGTTGATATTGTTAGATCTGGCCACCCTCGAGCTCTAGATGTTTCAAAGGTAGGCGGTGAGTCCTGAGCGTTGATGACAATGAAATGCTTACTGTCCAAGAATTCGAGTACCGCAATTCCCCTTCGGTTCTCCGAGTCAGCACCCCATAGTTGACTGGTGGCGTTAAAGTCTCCTGCTATGATACAGTGTGATGCCCCAGTTAGAAGGTTAGAATTAAGTTCCTCTAATAGAGAGGTAATATCTTCGCTCGGGGGTAGATACACAGCAATAATATCAATGCTGCAATTACTAGTGTCTAGTCTGATGGAGACTGTATGCTGTGTGATTTTCATTAGGAGAGAGAGAGGGCCACTGTAAATAATCGCAGCTAGCTGATTCTTTGAGAGAAACGTTCTGCTGTGTGTTGGAACACTAGGAATCACTCCGTTGTAAACGTATGGCTCTTGGAAGATTCCGACATTGGCAGCAGTATGTGTCATTACTTGCAGCGTATTTATGGTTGCTGCATAGCACTTCTGCAAGTTACACTGTAAAAATCGAAGACCTGCTATATGTTTGTTTAGTGTCATCTTGGTTTAGTTCTTTGCAGTGGTCCTTCTCAGACTCTCGAAATGGGCTCCATACACTGGGCAGGAACTTGAAGTAGCTGGGTGATCTGTGCTGAAAGAGGTCCCCTTTTCAGAATTACTACTGCAGCAATTAGTGCAACTCACTTTTTCCGAGCTACACTCCTGCGTCGGGTGGCTGTTACCACACACTTCGCGCAAACTGGAGCGTTTTTACAGTTCCTGCTATAGTGACCGAACTCCTGGCAGTTGTAACAGCGTATGATCCTAATGTACGGACGGAGAGGACAAGACTCAAAACCCACTAAAAGACGGCCTAGCTTAACTAGGTGTTCTGCTGACTTAGGGTCTATGTCTATCACCCAGTTTTTCCTTCCGCTTTGCCCGGAACGGCTTGCTCGTATTTGAAAAGCACTGGGATTGAAATTGGGCAGTTGGTCTACAAGTGCTGCTGTTAGATCTTCTTTTCCTAGATTCTCAGGTACTCCAAAAATAATTACACTTTCCCTTCTTGGCTTGGGCTCCCGAAATTCAAGTGTCTCTAGTAGTGCTGGCCTGTCCTCGATTGCCTGTTTCAGGCGTAGCAGGTGAGCTTTTTCTCGACACCGGATGAGAAGCTCTCTGGACCTTGTCGGCCGAATCTGCACTAAAGTGATCCCTAGCTGGGAGGGTTTCAAATCTGCCGAAAGTTGAGCTTTAATCCCTTCGGGTGTCCGTGTGGAGTTCTTTGACCTTAATAATAGAACGTGCTCCGATAGAACTGGAGAAGATCTTGAAGGTGGAGAAGTTTTCCGCTTCTTTCGTGTCACCTCAGTGAAGGAATATTCTTTTGTGGACTGTTCTTCTGGGGCTGAGGATTCCACTGCTTGATAAGACTCGGAATGTTGAGGATTCTCGTGAGATGGCTGTAAACTGTGTGCGAGTTGCTGTTGTTGCAGAGCCAAGACTTGTCCCTGTAGCTGGGCGAGATAAACCTCTTGTTCCGTTAACGTTATGCGAACGGTGTTCACAAAAGATGTAAATTGCTTTCTTTCAGAAGCGTTTAGTCTGCGAGATTCCTTTGCTTGTAAGATGAATAACTGGAGTTGGTTACAGATGTGGTTAATTGCTTCCAACCTGGAGTTAGGTGTCGATGTGCTAGCAGCACCTTTAACAGAAGGGGGAGAATGTTGAATATTATGCTCCGTGCCGGCTGGTGATGAGGGAGTATCCGAAGGCATAGTAAGTAAGAGAACACAATGAAGATGCTTTCAGAGCATAAAAAACGAATGATGAGATGAATGATGGATACACATGCACCTGCAATATTCCAGGAATACTCAGTTTACGCGATAGCACTGTAAGGAAAGGTAGCGGAACACAATGAACACACTTCACGACGCTAAACTTGAATGAGGAGATGCACGATCAGATCGCATGCACTTGGGCTAGAGTACTAAGCATGTACCGTAGCAATAATAGATTAGATAGTTGCGAGAACACAATGTGTGCACTTTCACGGCACTAAAGTGGATGAGGTGATGTATAATGAAACCTCATAAGCTAATAGACTTTCTTGTATATTGAGTATGGGCTGTAGCACTATAAGAAGAATATATATATATATATATATATATTTGTTTTATATAAAATGTGACGCACACACTTTAACCTTATATACTAAACAGTTCTAAGTAAGCACAGACTGATAATCACGCACACTATTACACAGCACTGAATAATAACAAAATGACTATTAGAACACGATGCACACACTTTCTAGGACTAAACTCGAATGAGAAGATGCGCAATCAAATCACATAAACTGACAGTAAAGTATGCACTATAGCACTATAAGATGAGATAACTGCAAAAACACTATACTTTCACAGCACTGAAAATTTGATTAGGAGATGAATGAAGATATCTCACAAATAAATTATCTTGCATAAATATTGAGTTTGCGCTGTAGCACTATGAAAGAAAAGATTAAAAAAAAAAGAAAAAGAAAGAGCAATAACGTATGCACACACTCACGGTAAGCACTGAATAAAAATTACGCGCTACACTGTAACGCAGCGCTGTGAAAAAAAAAAAAAAAAAAAAAAAAGATGAATACTTGAGCACAATACACGCACTTTTCACTGCCCTAAGTAAGTACTGAATAATATTCACACGCACTATATCAAAGCACTGAATAATATGATTAATACTGGAGCTCTTCGTAGCATTAAACTTGAATGAGGAGATGTACAATCAAATCGCATACACTGCCGATAAAGTATGTACCGTACTGCAAGAACACGATGCACAAACTTCCGATATTAATAATGAATAAGGAGATGTATGGTGAAATTTCAAAAATCTTTACATATATTGAGTATGTGCTATAGCACTAGTTCGGACTGGGGTATGTAAGAGGTAAATACTTCGTAAGCGTTAAAATCTCTTTCAAAATAAGCAATGCACACACTTTCACAGATATGAACTTGGATGAGAAATTGCATTAACACTTTCACAGATAAAGCACACACTTTCACAGATATGAACTTGATGAGGAATTGCACTGTAGCACTAATAGAGGAAAATACTGCTTGAGCTGAATGTAAACACGCACTTGGCATGAATGATGTGTAGTACTAATAAAAATCAAATACACTGACAGTCGTAAGATGATTACTACGCTTATGTGGCCAAAGATGGCGGTTGACAATCTTTTCCTTCTTGTTTTGAAGGGAAAAAAAATAAATAAAAGCGTATTTGGAAGGGGTGGATTTAGAGTAGTATTCGATTACAAGCGCACCCCTGCGCTGCCTGTGTCCGAGACTGAGAGGAGGGGAGAATGCTAAAGTTCCTTTTTCTTATCAGCAGAAGGAAAGAGGGTTGAGTAACCGCGTTACTGTGTTAAAGTAACAATGGTCAGGAACACAAGCCGGAACGGTAATACTTAGAAAATTAATTAAATAATCAGTGAATAATGATGAAACTTACACTACTGAAGACCTAGTGCTTTGCTGTAACTGCAGATACAAAAAAATCTCTTGTAAGGCTGAGTATTCCGTTCACCGTGAAGCAAAATGTAGGAGCAAAATTCATACGACCTCTTATCTCTGCGTATAGACGCGCTCTTCCCTCGTTTAATAGAATACATTTTTTAAGTACCTTTAAAATAAAAACAAACTGAAAATATGTGACAAGTTTTAGTTTTATTCCATTAAGATTCATGTTTTGCATATTTTGATAACTGATTTTTCTTATTGGATAATTATGTTTCATTTCATGTAAAAAAAAAAAAAAAAAAAATTAAAGTGAATTAATTTTTTTAATTTTGTTTCCTGTGTATAATTAGGTTTCTTTTAAGTTTATAGTCATGTTTTACAACTTATTTGTTGTAAAAATGTTGCTGGCTGAAGCCTGTGATATGAGATTCAGTAAGTCAACTATACATTTAATTCAGTCTAACACTAACCTTGAACTAACATCGGTTTTTCTGATTTCATGATATTTTGAACCGTTTTTACATTGACTGACTTCAAGTGAATAATATATTTATTTTCTAACCCCTTTTTAACCATGCTAAGGAGTAAATTAACTGATTATTAAACTTTTGAAAATAGAATGTATGCTAATTACTGTTATAATTGCAAATTAAATTTTCATAGTTGGATATTATTGTTAAGTTATATAAATAATGCTTCCAATTGTGTGAAAATTTTGCATTATTAAGTATTTAATAAGTGTATTTCAACATTCTTTTAGGCCTTAGCATCAATGAGTATGAGCCCCCAGCCTATTAAAAATCTTGATCGAATTCAATCAGGAGTAGCGGACCGTTTAGTACCGCAAGAACCTCCACCTCCTCCACTGACTACAGGTTTTAATCCATTAATCTATGGTAATGATGTGGACTCCGTGGATGTTGCGACTCGAATAGCTATGGTCCGTTTCTTCAATTCACCTGGTGTTTTAGCAAATTTCATGGAGCACACGCGAACTCTACGCTTGTATCCGCGTCCTGTCGTAGCCTTCCAAGTTAATAGTTTTCTTCATTCAAGACCTAAGTTTTCATATTTCCTCAGCAAGTTCGTTCGTACACAAGTAAGCAAGTTTTTTGAAACACTCTCATTGTGTTTAAAACCTACATGTTTGGTGGTGTTTAATAAGTATTCTTACTTTTTTAGGCTGTAGAATTTTTCGCTGAATGGTCTCTGTCTCCGACTAATGTGGCCTTCCTAAGGGTTCATACAGGTATGCTTTTATGTTTTCCGTTTTGTTTCTGTAAAGATTTTAAACTTCAGTTTTTAAAGAAATAAATTATTTTTTGTTGGATCATTTGTTAATTTTTCTGTGCATGAGGAAATTCATTTTTTAAAGATGTAAATAATTTGTTGATTGGAGGAGGGGGCAAATAATAATTTCTGTATGTTTATGTAAATTTTCAGGTGTTTTTGATCCTACTATTGTTGGAGATAAGGCCAAGTGGTACAGTCATCAATTAGAACCTTTACATTTCAAAGTTTGGTCTGATGGCTCAGTTTTGATGAGTGTTTTGGCAGCATCATTACAGTCTGATCCATCAAGTGGTATTTTGTTTTCTTGTTAGATCTTTAGTGTTTTTGGGGGGGCATAAAAACTGCATGACTAAAAAATTAATAAACTGCCAACCATATAGTGTGATAGGCAATATTGCTATAATATTTTTTTTAATAAATGAATCAGTATATTTAAAATGGCGTTATGTGACATTTTTTTCACGATGAGGTTAATGGTGAGAATGCATTACTAGAACCAAGCTTCACAAGTTACCTCATGGACTTTTTCATTAGTCTGTGATTTGCATTCTCACTGACCAGTTTAGGTCACAAATACACATTTATAGCTTTCTTGTGGAGCTTTTTCCAACAAATTGTAATGGAATCTGATTCTTCTGAATCAAATGAATGAAAACCATGAAGGTGGAAACAGCTAAATAATCAAGATTTTTACTAGGGGAATGTAATAATTAGTACTAGGGTAATTGGAGACCATGTATCCACCTACATTAACCATGGTTCTAAGTGTCTTTATATACAGGAATGATTGTATTGTGAGTAATAAATACTAAAGAGGCTTGCTTCCTCCCTGATTTTCATAAAATTAACATCTCTCTAAAATTATCACATTTGATATAAGCAAATTTCACATTCTGCAGTTTTACAGGTACACATATATCTGGTTGTAATGAACGATTTCTGCCAAAGAATGTTCTTAATAAATTTAGGAAAAAAAAAATGGAAACAGTACCTTTAGTGTGGATAGTAATCACCACCCAAATTTATGATTTTCTGCCAACATTTTGGTAGTTTTTCAAAGCCTTCAGTCCAGAAACTTGGTGGCGGCAAGTCCGAAAACATATCAACCTTATTTTGGATGTCCTGTGCAGATTGGAAGATAGCACCAGCAAGATATAGCTTCAGGTGTGAAAAAAGGTAGAAGTCCGAAGGAGCGATGTCGAGGCTTTATGGTTGGTGTGGCAAAAGATCTCATTCAAGACCAAAGTCCAGCCAGTGAATGCAGACACATGTGGTCTTGCATTATCTTCATGGAACATTACCTTTTTGTGCCAGAGCTCAGTTCAATGTTTTTCCTTGATAGCAGTGTCAACATGGACTAGCATCTTGCTGTACACCGTACTGTTGAGGATTTTACCTTTTTCCAGATACATTGTATAAATAATGCCATTGCAATCCCACCAGACATGGTCTTTTTGTTAGTCAAATTGCATTTTGCGATGCTGCTGACGGGCTCACCAGGTTAAGACCAACTCCCTTTTCAGCCTTTGTTGTTGAAGTAAATCCACTTTTTATCACAAGTGACAATCTGGTCCAGAATTTAGTCCTTGGCGTGATATTCGAGCAGATTAGTACAGGCCAAAGAGGTCTGTTCCAATCTGCTTGAGTCAGCTCATGCAGCACCCAGTGACTGAACTTATATGTCAAGTTTTTGCAATATATAGCATGACTAATTGACATGGCAGTAACGTCTAACTCCTTAGCAAGCTCTCAAGTGATTGCATACTGATCTTCCACACGTTCCACAGCCTACTGATGTTGATGAGGCAAGCGGGCCTCATCAACATCAGTAGATTGGCCAGAGCTCTTTACTTCTTGAATGTCATATTCCTTGAAAGTGCATTAAAAACATACCGACTGAACATACAGATTTTTATAATAACATCATGTAGTAGTAGACAAGGGGAATGACGGTGAAGATGATTAAAGCTTTATTATTATTAGGAACATTTTTGTCTTTTTTTGCTTATTGTTTATTATTACATTTTAACAGGTTTTCAGTATTTTCAGACTTGTTTATACAAAAAAATATATATAGTTTTTAGTGCTATTACTTTTATTATTATCTTATTTTTTACAATATATAGATTGTACTTAATTTTCTTAACAGCATTTTTCTGAAACTGTATTATCTTATTATCTTTTCGTAACATTTATTTTTATAAAAAATAGCTGTAATTTTTTTATGACTCTGAGTGTTTTTTTATGTGGGATAAGTTGTAAAAAGAGGATATGTGTACAGTCTGTCTATCATAAGAAAAACTCTTACCAGTTAGTCTGCAGCTGTCTGTTGCTGTAGAAACAATCCTTGACCCATTTTCCGTAGGGATGTCTTGAAGACTAATGATAAATTCTTTTTCCCTCAGCCAACAGTCACCAAAAAACAAAATAACTATAAAGCAATCCTTAGTTCATCCCTATTTGAAATATACTAGCCTTGTTGTTATAGCAACTGCTACCCACCTGACACTGTGGTGTGGGAGCTGTTCTTCTCATAGACAGACAGTAATTTTTTTGGGGTGGAGGGACAGGCATAAACAACTAAATTGTTCAAAAAACCCTGAATTACAAATTCATAGTTATATCAGTTTCGTTAAATTTCTGTTGTTAACTTCTGAGGAGTGAAATAATTTTTTATTGCTGTTGTAAAATTTGACTTTTGTTGCATAACCCCTTTTCACATCTACTGATTCAATTGTGTAAGAATTTTTAAGGAATTGGCATTTAGAAGGCATTCTTATCATAATGGGCAAAATAAATCTATTTATATCAATTTTTTAATTTCTAGATGAAAGCTGCAGTGATAGTGAAGGTGCCGGCAGTACAAGTTCTTCTTATTCCTCTCTAAGTGACTTTGTTACAGATATGGTGAACAGTGAAATAACTAGTGAAGGTGTACTTGGTAAGATTTCTTTAACTATTATAGAAATATTGTGTTATTCATTTCTATCTCACATCCAGTCTTCAGTTAATTTATACATATACATAATTAACTAATGTGAGATTTCATGATGCAAATTAGAAGTGATAATCATTTAAATTAATTTACAGCAGGTGCCACTTAAAGTGATCGTGATTGTTGTTATCATTCAGGTATCATTATCAAAATGGCAAAGTCCCACCCATCTGTATACAAAAACATGGAAAATACACCACTTATTGTGACCAACAGTTTGGTTAATGTTATCAAAATATTGCAGAATGGATCGTATAGAAATTGCCAGATGCTAGAGAAATGTTGCCAAGTAAATGCCAAGCAGGCTTGGTTTTAATTTAAAGCTATGATATGTAAAAGAGCCTGTTTTTCAAGTTTTAGGATGATCAACTGATTAAACAGAATTAGCAAATTGCAGTAGAAATAACAGAGGAGAGCGTCTGGAAGTCATTCTCTGAAACATATCCAAGAACATGGTGTGATAAACTTTACAACAAAGAAAATCATGAATTTCCTGCAAATTCTGAGATGAGTGATGCTTTATGAATATTATAAATTAGTTAAACTGTATTGATTATTAAATTAGTATTAAATTATTGTATTCAATTAGTTAAATTCTATTGATATATTGAAGGCTACTTTTCTCAGTCTTGGACAAATGTGATCACATTAAGCAGTGTCTCCTGCTAATGGCCTTTTCCTGTTAGATTGTTCTAACTGTTGTTACAGTGTGAAGAAAGGCAGACAAGTTCTCACATAAGACATTGTGAAAACATATTATGGGCAAAAATTCATTATTATGAAGGGCTGCTGCTTCTGTGTTTTTATGTTTTATAATGTTATGTCTTATTATTTCTCTTTTTAATTCTTGTATGTTCTTATATTTGTAGTTCCAAACAAAATAACCACTGTCATTTAATATCCTAGTTAGAAAAATCTATGAAATGTTAGTGTTTTAGCTTTGAGTTTTTTTTTTTTTTTTTTTTTTTTTTTTTTTATGCTGTTAACACTTGTGATATAATTTTTCAGAAATCTGCTTTGACTAAGTTTTGACTCAATTCTAAATTGTTCATCTTAAACTTTCTAGACAGGCACTTCTATCTTGTATGCTAATTTCTTATCTAGATTTAGAAATTTGATTCTTTTTCTTGGCTGCCTAATAGAAATTATTTTTTCAATTAAACACAGTGAAAAATTTTCCTCTCAGCTTTAAAGAAAGTTATAGATTTTAGTCTTTATCAATTAGGAGGCTACCAAAGATGACATTTATAGTTAACTTAAAATCGCTGTTAATTCAAGTTCAGTTAAAAAATACAGGAAAGAGGAATAACCCACTAACAATGTAAAGAACAAGTTTATTTGGTAAAAGTATATTTTAGGATACCCCTTGGCGATTTTTGGCAGTACATGGATACTGAGTTTGTGCAATTCTTTGACTTGTTATTTTTAAAAAAATCCCAGAATTGCACAAAAATGGCATTGCACACTCCCTTAACTTTATCCATGTACATATCGACCTATTTTCACTTAAAAAAACATTAGAGAATTTCACAAACTATACCTTATGCATTCCCTGTCCATGTATACATCGATATATTTTGACTTAAAACATCAAAGAAACACCCAATTCTACAGTAGAAGCAAACAAAAAATACATGATCTCAATAAACTACATTTTAAACCAAACAATAAAATAGCATAAAAAAGAAAAAAATCTGTTATGCATTTAAGCACTACAAAAAACAAAAGGCAAATATTCACTAAGTACTACAAAAAGCAAATATTCACTTGCCTTATTTAGAAATTCGTTCGTCTTCAGTCTGTGGCACACAAAATTCCTTAGCAGTTAACAGCATCCAAAAACTTCCTAAAATTATCTGAACTAGAATCTGTATATCGGTATCACCACATAAATTCACAAAAATAAGAGTAAAAACTATACTATGTAGTTCTGGACTGTCCGGAAAATGGCTATAAGTAAACTTTTATTTACACACCAGTCAATTAATGCACTTTTCCTCTTTCGTTCCAAATCATACAAAAACTTAAAACTAACCTTACTACATTCAGCCATTGTACTATCTAAAAACAATGAAACAAGCAGTGCACTTCCTAAGCAACACACACCACAAAAGCCCTTGCAAAAATATCCCATGATTCAAAATTTCCTGAAATAATGCAAACGATTACATCATAATAGGGTTTCCATAACATTCAACTACTCAGGTTACCATAAATGATACAACAACTTGGCGATAAATGAAACAACAACATCGCGATAATTCAAGGGGGTACTCTAAAATCAACTCTAACTGTTTATTTGATTACATGCATTAAATAAGAATTTTAAACAGAAAGAATGCACAATAACTAATTTCTTGGAAGCAAAGAAACTAAATTGTAGATGGCATTAAAAAACAATATTTATGAGAGAATTTGGATGACAGCTTTGTTTTATGGTGATGGCCTGTGACAATAAATTTTCCATCGCTTCAAATTAAATGAACTTTATTTTTTCTTAGACAGAGCCAAGTTAAAATACTAGTAGTAAATGACTATACATGTTTTAGTCTGGCATGATCAGCAGTTATTTTAATAGCAAAATTTAAAATAGCTTCAAATATATTAATTCCATTTATGTTGGAAATTTCTTTTATTTCTAAAATTTATATCTATTAAAGAATCTGAATTTTCAGCTGCTTCTGGATCTGAGGAATCTGCTAACAGCCAAGTTCTTTTTGACCACCATTCTGTATATCAACCACCAAGCACACTACAGCTGCCTGCTGCTGACATTAATAATCGTAATGCTGTGTTTGCCCTACCATATGCCAATTCTCCACCATCCACTCCATCAAGGTTTGTATGATTTCTTCCCCCCCCAAATTGAGACAGCCAGGTAAAATACTACTATAAAATAAAAGAAACTTTCTAGTATTATCTATGCTTTTATCTTTTTATGCGCATGAGTTTATCAAAAGATTTTTAGCTAGATTTCTTATCTTCAAAGAATCATTTTTATAAAACTAAATATGTTCATACTGATAAATATTATAAAGAAATATCTGCGTAACATTTTAAAAATATCTTATAATATCAAATTCATCCATTAAACCATACAGCCTGTCATTATATAAATTAAATTCCTAAATAAAAAATTATTCAATTTTCTTTGCCTGTATTTATCTCTAAGGTAGTGTATTTCATCTACTTGATCATAAGGACTGTAAGAAACAGACTTAACTAATTTGTTAATTACTGAATTTATGAAACATAACATCATATTAGATCTAAGTAAGGAGCTGAGTTGATTTAAAGTGCAGTTTAATTAGCTATAAAACTGACAGAAACGGTAGAAGTTATAACGTATCCAAATACCAATTAATTCCCATTAACCCCTTAAGGCACACATTAATTTCTAATTTTCGGTCAAAAAATCACCTATTTTTTTTCTTGCATAATCATATTCTCTAGTGCATTTTAAGACATGATCGACAAATAAAAGTAATTTTTAACTAAAAATTTAATTAAAAAATCTTATTTTTAATTTTGGAATAATTTCACTTAAAGTTGTCTTTTTGTTATGCTCCTTTGTATTAGAAAAGACAACATACAGGGGTACAAGTATAGGCTAATTTAAAAATATATATATACGAGGGCCATCCAGGAAGTAGATTACGTTTCCGTCTGTGTCCGCTAGGGGCGGGGCTAGCGCGGCCATCTTGGGGTCAGAGCGTTGCGCAGCTCAGTCTGCATCTAGCCGTGCTAGTGAGAGGTTCGTGCTGTGCTCCGTTCAGATACTGTGACGGTTTGAAATGTCTGCGTTAATTGAAAATCCCGCGAGCTGCGAGGTGCGCTCAGTAATAAGGTTTCTGACTGCAAAAAACTGTAAACCGATAGAAATCTATCGGCAGCTTCGTGAAGTGTATGGGGACAACATTATCACTGAAGGTGGAGTGCGTCAGTGGGTCATAAGATTTCAAAATGGCCGAACCAATGTTCACGACGAAGATTGAAGTGGGAGACCCAGCATAGTGACCGCTGAACTTCTCGAAAAAGTCGATGCTAAAGTCCGTGAAAATCGAAATTTCACAATAACGGAACTTTCTTTGAGTTTTCCACAAATTTCGCGAAGTTTGTTGCACGAAATCATCAGCGAAAAGCTTGGTTACCACAAGTTTTGTGCAAGATGGATTCCAAAAATCTTGACAGAGGACCACAAAAATCAGCGAATGGCTGCAGCGTTGAACTTTTTGGACGCTTACCATAAGGATGGTGACTCTTTACTCGATCGCATCGTTACTGGTGACGAAACATGGGTGAAACATGTGAACTGTGAAACGAAATTGCAATCAATGCAGTGGGGGCACACAAGTTCTCCCCAAAAACCCAAGAAATGCATGCAAACAATGTCGGCAAGGAAGATGATGGTGACTGTTTTTTGGGACAGAAAAGGTGTAATTTTGGTGGACTTCCTGGAAAGAGGCACTACAATAAACTCTCAAAGGTATTGCCAAACTGTCCAAAAACTCAGAAGAGCAATTCAAAACAAGCGCAGAGGAATGTTGAGCTCTAAGATCTTGTTGATTCACGACAACGCCCGGCCCACACGGCAAATGTCACTCGTAAAGTTCTTGAATCTTTTAAGTGGGAGTTGTTTCCTCATCCGCCGTACAGTCCCGACCTGGCACCGAGCGACTTCCACTATTCCCAGCAATGAAGAAGTGGCTGGCTATGCAGCGTTTTGATGACGACGCACAGCTGCAAGAAGAGGTAACGAAGTGGTTGAAGGCGCAGGCGGCCGAATTTTTCGACGAAGGAATTTCCAAGCTCGTACATCGCTACGATAAATGCCTTAATTTGTATGGTGACTATGTAGAAAAGTAGTATTTGAGTGTGGCTTTCATCTGTATATAATAAAATTTGTTTCCTATACTTTGTTTATTTTTTTATTCCAAAACGTAATCTACTTTCTGGATAGCCCTCGTATATTATACAAACAAAGTGAAACCGATTTGATTACATGTTTATTTTGAATTTAAAGTTATTAAAATCAAATTAAATCAAATTTTCATACTTGCAAACATAAAATTGACTAAAAATTCAGTTTGGTATGATATACCATGAAGCATGGTACTGCGCAAAGTCCAACATTACAGTTCCTACAATAGTATCTTGTTTCTTTCCTTATCTTTTTACCCCTCTCATCTCTTTTACTGCAACAAACGGCGCAATTTCTACAAGGGGCCGCTTTCTTTTCTGTAGGTGGTACAAATTCGGGAAAGTGCCTTTCAGTTAGTCTCAGAGGCCCAGGTTGGTAACCAGGCCGACCTGTTCTTTTGGGTAACACTTTTGAATGGTATTTTTCAATTAATTTTTCCACAAGCATTTTACGGAATTCCAAATGGTCCCGTTTTCCTCCATTTTTTTGATATAGTACAAATGAATTCCATACGGATATATCCACAAGATGGAAAAATATCTTGTTATGGTACCTTTTTCCTCGTTTTCTTGTTGTTGGGTAATCGTGGAGATGCTGATCAAGCCGATCAACGCCTCCCATTGTATCGTTGTAATCAATTACAACTTTCGGTTTCTTTATTTGAGTGCCATCATTGGCTGTTTTACTTGTATTTTCCTGATGTGTGTTATGGATTGTTGAAAGCAAACAGACATCTTTTTTGTCTTTCCACTTCATTGCCATTACTTTTCCTCTCTGAAACGCTATAACATCTCCCTTTTTCAATTTTTTATTTCTAATTTCAGATGGAACTTCTTTTCTGGTACTTTTCAGAGTCCCGTAGGTATCTGTTTGACGTTTTACCAGGAAATCCGCTAATTGTGGAGAAGTATAAAAGTTGTCAGTCGTCAAACAGTACCCTTTATCTAATAACGGTTCAATCAGTGACAACACTACTTGAGTTGATACCGGCATTTCTCGATATGCATCGCTCAGATTCGTTCCTTTTCCGGTATATATAATGGATGAATATAAGTAACCGGTTTTTGATTCACAAAGAAGGTACATCTTTATTCTGAAATGAGCTCATTTCAGTGGTATATATTGCTTCCATTTCATTCGCCCTTTATACAGTAGTAGACTTTCGTCTATCGTGATATCTCTTTCCGGTGTATATAGAGAAGAACACTTTTTATTTATATGGTCAAATACAGGCTATATCTTATTGAGCTTGGGATGGGGGTGAATCTCAGCATCATAAGTTTCATTGTTAGAGAAGTGAAGATATCTTTTTATCTCAGAATAGCGACGAAAGCTAAGGAGCTTCGGAAAAATAGGTGATTGAAAAATTTCACTTTTTGACCAATACATCCTTATCTCAGGCTTTCTAATTATACCTTGTAGTATAGTTATGGCTAAAAATATGTATAATTCTTCCATAGTAATCGGTAACCATAGGTTCTGTGATGATCCTGGATGTTGAAATGCATATCTGTTTGTTTCAGTTAGAATTATGTCCATGAGAGAGTTATCAAAAAAATAATTCAAAGTATGACAAAGCATCATCGTAATCTGTCAGAGTAAAACAACAGCCAGGGTTAGCTTCAAATCGAAATCTCGGTGGTGCAACGTTTGGTTGATTTATACTAATTTGATACCAATTCCTTGCTATATCCAAAATCTCGTTGTCATTATCTTCCGATTCACTTCCATCACTCAAGAAATCATCACTCTCATCGCTGAAACTGTCTGATAAATTGGCATATTCAAAATTGTCATCGTCAGAGTCGCTCATTTCAGATAACTTTTTTTAAATTACAAAAACACTTAGTAATATAATTTGCAGTTAACTGCTTACTTTTATTATATTTACATAATAAAAATGGATATATTACCTTTTCCACACCAAACGACTACTTTATAGCAAAGAATTCCTAGCAAACTTATAGCTAATCATCAAAATGCGCCACGTGGTTTACACAAGAAAAATGCTGAATAGTGGTGCCATCTATGTCAAATAAGATTAATTATAATCTAGCCTATTTATTTTTACTGGAACGGATCTCAGACAAGCATTAGAAATAAAATAACGCGAGATACAAGGGTGCTCGTGTGAGACACGGGCATATGCAAATTTGCCGGAAACTTTCGCCCGTGTGAGACACGGGCAAATGCGTTAAGGGGTTAAACTTTAATATAATTTTATTTTTTCCATCAATAAGAAAGATTATAATTTTTTAAATATCTAAAATGGATGTTGTAAATTACAGCAGTCCATCTTTCAATGGTGATCCTCAAGCAAACTTGGCACGTGCTGCAGAAAAAGCTGTAACTGCTGCATTTCAGCCTTTAGCATACAGGTCTGAATCTCAAGTATGTATTATTATTTTTTTTTTCTCTCTCAGTTTTCTGTACAGAACTTCCTTTCTAACATTTTATAAGTTCAGTGATCTTTCTTTTGAGGGAGTTTAGGCACAGTCCATAAATTACCACTTTTTCAAAGTTTCTTTACCATCCTAAGGCATTACAAGTTCAGTATTTTTTTTTTTTTTTCTTTTGATATAGTTTAAATACTGCTCAAAATTACCTGCCACTTTTGCAAAGTTTCTTTTCCATTCTAAGATATTAAAAATTTGATGATTCTTTCCTGAGACAATTTAGATACTACCCATGAATTATTTTCCTTTTTTGGTCTTTAAATAGCATACTATTTATGGGTATTTACTCTATTTCAATATGCAAATGCATTTCCTTGTAATGACTAGAAACATTTATCCTTCATTAGATATTAATCAAGAGAGCCAAATGCATAGCTATTTTTTCTTTCATCAATACCTTTGACATTTTTTTCCTCTCATTTGTTATGTAAGGATATAAAATTTTCAACATGTCTCAAGAAGAATACAATTGTGTTAAAGAAATTATTAGAAATTTATTTATTCATACATATTTTCTGAGTCTTATAATTAGTTTGAATGTTTTTCTGTGATGGAATAAATTATCAATTAAAATCAGTTAAGTGGGAATTGCCTTTTTTAAAGAAATTTAAACTGTGTTTGCTCTATTTGAAGTGTGAGAGAGCCATAAAACAAATCTTACACATATTATAATATTCTGTAAAAATAATGTAAGTTTCTTTGAATGCAGTATTAAATTTTTATCATATCAATTATTGATATATTTGGTGATCCAGTATTGCAAAAATTTTTATGTGTGACAAAAAAAACTATCCCAATGAAACTTTTATGCTTGATCAATGAACAACATACCACATTTTTTTGTCACAATCTTAAACATAATCTGAAGAATTTTTTATGTTCTTCAAAGTTTTGCTCTTGTTAGGACAGTGAATTAAATAATCTCTAATATTTTATCATTTATTTTGAGCTGAGGTGCTGGGAAATTGGTAAGGAATGAAATGTTTGGAATAACTTTCATATCCGTGTAAACTTGGCACCCTTTTTCAATATTTTACTTAGTAAATTTAGTAATAGTTCTGCTTCTCTCAAATAAAATGAGGAACAAGCAGTAAGATTGCTTTTTAATTCCCCCCCCCCATGAATAAATGTCAGCTTTTTCTTCAACATGGCATTCCTAATTTAAAAACTGTAACAATCTTGTTCAATATGTATATTTAGATTTATGTTCTGATCAGATACATGTTTTTAATTTTATGTTTGTATTCATTGTTAGATATGTGCATGGTTAAATGTAAATTAATTACCTTATAAGTTATTTTCTTCCTCCTTTCCTAATGGCTTCATGGTGTAACGGCAGCACACTTGGTGCATAGTCGAAAGGTTCAGGTTCGAGTCCCAGCAAGGGCATTGCACATTTTTTCACATTTGTTTCCTAAAATCCAATCCTAATATCTCTACAACCTGTAACTTTTACCTGTGATTTAAACTTCACATTTATTCTTAGGATCATGGTGATGGGGATACTGAAGTGTTTAGTGGTCAAGAAGGAGAGACTGCAACTTTAACACCATCCACTATTCGCTCAGTTATATCACCCCAACCACCTCTACAGAGTAGAAGCCCTGCTGACAGTCTTGGGAGTGATATAGAAAGTATTCATGATCATGATGTTGTGCATGGTGTAACTGGCAATTCTGCACCCCGTGTCAGGTCTGGTAACACAGTTTTAACTCCAGAAACATCAATTGACAGAGGCAGTGGAACTGGTTCTGGAACTCCTACTCCAACTCCTACACGTACCATTAGTATTAGTAGTGTTTTGAGTCGTACGGGAAGTATTGGTGGTGTTTCTTTAACTGCTCAAAACAGCCAAGGTTCTCTCCTTGAAACAATGGCACGTGAGGCCAGAGAAGTTGCTAGAGAAGCAAGTAAAGCAGCTGTAGAAGCTAGTCGCACAGCTCTGGAAGCTACAAAGCCTGCTAGGGAGGCTGGAAAGAAAACTCTCTTAAAAGTGAGTTACTTGTAGCTGTATGTGCATTGTAATAATATGACTGAGTAATATTTAATAATTCATAGTTTAACACGATTTATATTAAAATAAAATATACAAATAGAAATAAAATGTCATTGTATGTCAAAGATAAAATTTAATCGAGTGCATGCAATGCACTAAAATCTTTTGATAGTTTACTTCAAGATGAAAAAAAGTGTAGGTAACATTTTCTGTTTCTTTATTTACAAATATTTTGAAAGCACTTTTGTTATTGTTTAATTTTTATTTTTTACATAACTGGCTATTTGCATTATATGCTAAATATTCAGATTTTAACTTTCAGTAGCTTAGATAAATTAAAGTGATTATGTTTTTGTCTTAAGTATGAATAGTCATTTAAATGTATAAAAATCCTGTTTTGTAATCTTCAAAACTGCCGCCGTGTTAGTTTTTGATGTCTTTTACTTTTATATGTTTTTTTTTTTTTTTTACTCCAATAACTTTCTTAATGGAAATTGTTTCTTTTATGTTTTATAGAATTTGCAAGCATTTGGTGAACCAATGACCAGTAGTCGAGAAAAACGTGTCGCTGAATCTACAGAAATTGTTACTCGAGATGGTGGTTCAAGTCCTGGTTCTCTTATATCTACCGTTAGTAGTGAACTCAATGGTATTGCTGCTCAGACTTCAAGCATGTTTTCTGGGTTTTTTAGTAAGTATATAATATAATATATCGTAAAATAAAAACGAAACATTTAAATCCACTCGTATTGAACATGGAACAAATCATTAGAAATAACTTTTTTTTTTAAAAAAAAAAGGTAAGCCAAAACTGAAAAGAGGTATTTATAACATTTGCTACATTGTCATCAGAAGTTTGATGTAACGAAAGATGGAATGGCTTTTAAAAAGTTTTATACAGTCAGAAGTCTTTAATCCGGACTCGTCAGGACTTCGGCGATTCCGGATAATCGGTTTTTCCGGATTATAGATCATCAGTTTAAATCTGGTAAGATGGCATTCAGAAATTATAAAATTAAAAATAGGAAACCATAATTTATGAAATAAAGAACAATTATGATCTAAAATGTATCAAAATTTACAAAAAAAAAGGATTAATATTTATTTGTTTACTTTATTAAACATTTCTTTCAACGTGTGCATGCATAAAGCATACAATACGCATAGTCGAAATTAGAAAACTATTTGATGTGTATTCACTATATTTATAATGACAAGGAATTTCATTTAAATCATATCAAAGACAGAGTGCATCAAGATGAAATACTACATTTAGTAAGGAATTATAAGCCGAATAAAATAAAAACATCTGCCCTGAAGATAAAGATAGTGCTGACAGATCAACTTCCAGTTAATTGCACACCGCGATGTTTCTCCCCCCCACACACACACACGCACACACACCCTAGAGTAGCGTGAAATTGATAAACAGATTTCGGAATGGTTAGAAAAACAAAGGATATGCCTTTATCCATTTTTTGCAGCGATTCCACTTTTTGTTTGATGGACATCAAAACGTGCTTTCGGTTTGTAGATCCTTTGGCAGCTCCAGAATCAGAAATTCTTTTTGACATAATCGAAAGTTCAAGCTTACTTTTATAAAATTGCTCTAACAGTCTGCAAAAAATAATAAGCCTGATCCAATTAGACGATTAAGGGACAACGCAATCTACAACATAAACTGAAATAGATAATTATATAAATTTAGCTTAGCTAATACCGTCCGTTATACATTAAACGCGCATGCGTAAACATATTATGCGCAGAAAGTTTGTAGCTTTGAGGTCCGGAGTATAGATCATTCTGGATTATGGTTGTCCGGATTGAAGACTTTTGACTATATTTATTTTACTATATTACCACCAGTTATTGCAGCTATCAATGCATAACTTTATTAGGTTTTGAGCTGCTTTTTATTTATTCATTATATATATATATAAAAAATACAATATGTTATCTCATTCTTATTAAGCTAATTAAATTTTAAATTATGGAAATTTTATTGTAAACAAATAAAATGATTAACTATTGCTGCAAAATTAGAATTTTCATATTTTAAAATTCAATTAGCTTAATAGGAATGAGATGATATATTGTATTTGTTAAATTCAAATTTCATTCCTTGCAGCAATGACGCAAGAGAATTATTTAATTTTATTTAACTTTACTAAATATTTTCATATGAAACTATGTACAGTCAAAAGTCGTTAATCCGGACTTGTCGGGACTTTGGCGATTCCGGATTATCGATTTTTCCGGATTATAGATCATCAGTTTAAATCTGGCAAGATGGCATGCAGAAATTATTAAATTAAAAATATGAAACCATAATTTATGAAATAAAGAAAAATTATGATCTAAAGGGTATCAAAATTTACAAAAAAAAGCTTAATATTTATTTGTTTACTTTATTAAACATTTCTTTCAATGTAAGTTGTTTAAGTTGCTTCGTTTTACGTGATAATACTTTCTCTTCAATTCTATAAACAGACATAATTTCTTGTTTAGCTACAAAGTTCCGCTGTTCAAGTCCTATAATTGCTGTGTCGAGAATACCGACTAATTTGTCAATCGAAATTTTTTCATTTTCAGTAACCTCTGTGTCACTTTCTTCACTATCGAAGCGAGTTATAATGATGAAGAATTTAATTTAAATCATATGAAAGATGGAGTACATCGAGATGAAATACTACATTTAGCAAGGAATTATAAGCCAAATAAAATAAAAACATCTTAACATCTTCCCTGAAGATAAGGATGGTGCTGACAGATCAACTTCCAATTCATTGCGCTCCGTGGCGTCCCCCCACCCAGCCGCAGAGCAGCGTGAAAATGATAAACAGATTTCGGAATGGTTAGAGAAACAAAGGATATGCCTTTATCCATTTTTTGCAGCTATTCCACTTTTTGTTTGATGGACATCGAAACATACTTTCGCTTTGTATATCCTTTGGGGGCTCCAACATCGGAAATTCTATTTGACATAATCGAAAGTTCAAGCTTACTTTTATAAAATTGCTCTAACAGTCTGAAAAAAATAATAAGCTGGATCCAATTCGAAGATTAAGGAACAATGCAATCTGCAACATTAACTGAAATAGATAATTAGATAGTTTTAGCTTATACTGTCCATTATACATTAAACGTATTATGCGCACACGCATATGCGCAGCCGTAAAGGTCTTATGCGCATGCGTCAACGAAACGCATGCGCAGAAAGTTTGTAGCTTTGAGGTCCGGATTATGGGTGTCCGAATTAACGACTTGTGACTGTATATATAATGAAGGAGACAAAGGAGATTTATACGTACAAAGTTAAACATAAGCAATTAATATATTTTTTTAGGTTTAGCCTTCAAATATTTAATGCAGCATTTTCTTTTTATTCCGATTTCCGAGATTTTGATTTATTACCAGGGACATAGCTAGAGTGTCCAGCGCCCGGGGATAACTGAAGAATTTGCACCCCCTTTCTGTGTGCCAAGAATGGAAAACATTTCATTACAAAATTTCGTAGCATCAATTTGGCGCCCCTTTAATGCTGCACCTGGGGACAGATGTCCCCTCTTGCCTCACCATTAGCTACGCCACTGTTTATTACATATATATATAGAGAGAGATATTAAGCAATTTATTATTTATTTTTACCTTGTTTACTTTATATATGTATTTAAGTATCCAAAGTCAAATTTCAATTATCTAGATTAATCAGAATTGAGTTTATATAACTGTATGTAATAAACTGGCATGAAAGTTTCCAAGAAGTCATTAGCATCAAATGGGAGAAAAAAAGAAATTTCATTTATTGGAATTAAATTTATCATAATTTCTTATAAAAATGTAGTAAATAAATTGTGAGATATGAGATATATCATAAAAATGTAGATAGTACACAGTAACAAAAAGCATGTCTTATGTCTATAATAATACAAAAATATTCTTTTGTATATTTTTATCCTCAGTTGACAGAAATATACAAATATTTACAAACAATTGCAGATAATTTATAATATAAAGATTTTTTTTAATTGTGTTATTTTGTGTGTTTCTCTGTAAAGTTATACAAATTATTAAACAGAAGTTTAAACATTATTTATACAGTAACATACAATCAATAACATGCCTAGTGAACACTACAAAATATTTTTGAGTGAAGATTACAACTGTTATGCAAGAGCAAAAGTGCATGAAATGAGAAGAAAGTAAGCTTAAACAGCTATGTAATTCAAATAAAACAAAAATTTCAAATCTAAATATAAGCAGTAATAATTATATAATTCATACATTTGCTCTCTGATGCAACTTCAGGAGTTTTTGGAAATCTTCTGTGCTTCGATATAAGTAAATACTGACCTATTATTATAAATATTATTTGTTGATTCCTTTCATTCTTTATAGTCTATTCACTAACACACAGGGAAACTTATAAGTTGCTAAATTATTTGTAAAGTAACATTTTGTATGAAGAATAAATTGCTAATGGAAATTGTCTGGTTAATTCATGATTGAAATCTTATTATTTTTAGCATTTAAAAATTTTTAAAACTCTTTTCATTTATTCTTAATTTAATAGCTTTCAATAATAAATTAATTTTTAATTTAATTATTTTTTATTTATTAATATTATTTAATTACTGTATGAAATCTTTTTTTTAAATTTTATTGATAATTTAAGCAACTGATCAATTTCTACTAATTTTTCATTTTTTACAATAAAAATTATTGTGTGATATGATTTCTCCTTTTTAATTTATTGATAATTTAGGTAGCAGATCAAGTTCTATATCCAGACCTAGAGATCGACCTCAGCCATTTGGACCTTTCCCAAAAGGTTGAATTTTTAATATTTATGTTATAAAGTGTATATTCTGCATAATGTGTGCAGTAAATAGCTTTTAATTGCAATTCATGTGATTCTTAAAAGTTTGTGAAGTTAAGCTATATAATTTTATCCTGTTCTTTTCGAGGTAAAGTGAGTAAGGGTAATTTTTGTGGGAAAATATCTGATTTAAAAAAATTTTATATACTAAATTAAATGCAAGAAAACTTTGTATTGTTACGAAATGTGAAATGTACAGGCGCGGTGAGATAGCTTATCCGCAAGGCAGTTTTAGGGTTGCCATAAAAATGTCAAGGGAAGGCAGGGTTGCCACATTTGGCAAGAAATTCCCCATTTGGCAACAAAATTGGCAATATATCATTTACGGATGGATAACCTTCTGGAACGAATTCTTACCGGTTTGGCTCAGAATGTTCTCAAACACAAGCTGAAAGCTATATAAACCCTGCTGGTCCACAGTCAGTTAGTGTGTGTGCCTCGTCTAACTAGCTGATAGTCAGTCATTGAGCGAGTGTCTCGAAGTCTAGCGCTGAGTTGGTCATCGAGTGCATCGAGAGAGTCTTTTAGTGCATCATCGAGTTTTGTCTTAGACTGTGCTGAGTCGAGAGCTATACTCTTGTGTATTGTCGAGTGCATTGCATGGAGAGTCTCGAGAGTATGTGGAGTTCCAAGAACAACCAAGCAGAGTTGGGAGCTGTACTCGGGCGCTTTGCAGTTAAGCTGTCTCCACCGTTATTGCCTGATAATGTGAAGGCTGTGTCGCTGATTGTGTTAGCATGTTTATAGAAGTTCTTCGACGACTGTAACATGCTTTGGAGCTGTCCTAACAATACTGGAAAATAAAGTGTGTTTCGATACTTCATCAACTGACGTTGTTATTCACTTCACATCCACACAAACCCCGTACGAATGTGAAGGAAGAAAATAATGTAACAACTGCTGTCAGAAAAAGAAAAACTCAACGACTGGTGTCAGAAGTGGGATTTGCAAGTGAATGCCAGTGACCCGCCTGCAGAGGAAAGCCATGGCAGAAGAAATGAAGACTTTGATGAACATTTTAGCCAAGTTAAAAGTCGGATATGTTACGATGAGGGCTGAGATAAAAGCTGGATATGAAGAGATGAAGGCTGAAATGAAAGCCGGACTGGCTGAGATAGAAGCCGGATATGATGAGATAAAAGCTGGATATAAAGAGATGACAGCTGAGATCAAAGCTGGACTGAAAGAGATGAAAGCCGGACTGAATCAGAAGAAATAAATGGCAGCCAAGAAAGGTGTGAAAGCAACTCTAACAGGTGAAAGTGGCGCTTACAGAAGAAACTGGAGCCATAAAAGAGGATGTGGATATGAGAAAAGTGGCTTCTGAAGAATCAAAGGATGAAGAAATGAAGAAAGTAGCTAATGAACTATCTGAGGAAGATCAAGAAATGAAAGATGAAACAACTAACGCGATTAAAGATAAAGAACGAAAATGTGAAGAAATAAAAGACGGGAAAGTAGATTTTAATTCTCAAGTGTGGAAATGCGATTGTTAAGTTCGTTGAAACTGATAGTGAAGTTACGAAGTCGCAGGCAGCAGGTGTTGAACCATCTGAAAGTGCATGTGATACAGAAATGGGAGAAGCTGATGTGCAACTTAAGCAGTATGCTTCAGTATTGCAGAAAATTCACTCACCTCACAAACTATGTGTGTGTCTCATAGTGCTGGTTGTGCAGACAAGGACTTGATTCTAAACCCGGATACTTCTGCTCATAAAGGATCGGAATTTATTCGCTACCCTGGTGCAAACATCAGAACTGGTTCCCAGGAAATGAAGGTGAATGGGCATGTACCAGTGGCTGAAAATACCGAGGTGAACTGTATACATGATGGGAATGAACTACAGAGTAATGAACAAAGTCTCAGACCTTCCTGTGGATGAAAAGTCTAAAAGGACTGAATCTTCATACTGTGATATGCAAAACAGAAATGCATCTGAGAACTGCAGTGGAAAAGTATTTGACCCGAGTATATTTTAAATAGACTGTAACTGAAATTCATTCTTAATTTGTATAATTTAAAATTGTGATGTGTTTAATTTGTGTATGTAACTTGTACGTAATGTAAATATCTGTTTCTTTAGTTATGTTATTTATTTATACCTTATGTTTGTTTGTATCAAATTAGGCTTCTGACCAAGAGTTGTACTGCCCGGGATGTTCAGTCCTTGGGAGGGGGTAGTGTTACGAAATGTACAGGTGTGATGAGATAGCTTCCCCGCAATAGCAGTTTTAGAGTTGTCCAGAAAAACTGGCAAGGGAAGGCAGGGTTGCCACATTTGGTGAGAAATCACCCATTTGGCGATATACCATGGACGGATGGAGAACCTTCTGGAACGTATTCTTACCAGTTTAACTCAGAATGTTCCCGAACACAAACCGAAAGCTATATAAACCCTGCTGGTCCGCAGTCAGGTAGTGTGTGTGCCTCGTCTAGCGAGCTGATAATCAGTCATTGAGCAAGTGTCTCGAAGTCTAGCGCCGAGTTGGTCATCGAGTGCATCGAGAGAGTCTTTTAGTGCATCGCGAATTAGTGCATTGTCGAGTTTTGTCTTAGACTGTGGTGAGTTGAGAGCTATACTCTTGTGTATCGTCGAGTGCATCGTGTGGAGAGTCTCGAGAGTATGTGGAGTTCCGAGAACAACGAAGCAGAGTTGAGAGCTGTATTCGGGTGCTTTGCAGTGAAGCTGTCTCCACCATTATTGCCTGACAATGTGAAGGCTGTATTGCTGATTGTGTCAGCGTGTTTATAGAAGTTCTTCGACAACTGTAACGTATTTGAGCTGTCCTGACAATACTGGGAAATAAAGTTGTTTCGATACTTCATCATGTGTCGTCGTTATTCACTCCAAATCCACACAAATCCTGTACGAACGTGAGGGAAGATAATAACGTAACAACTGGTGTCAGAAAAAGAAAAACGCAACAGTATGTTGTATTAGAAACATCATGGCTGGATTTTATTGTCATGCATTGTATGAAAAGTGTATAATATGTAACTTAGTTGCTTTATTCTTTTTTCTTTAAAAAGGGCGAAAAATTCAAGTAGAAAAGACTACACTTATCAAACATACTACCACTCAGCAGAAGAAGCAGCAAGATGCACAACGAATGCAGACTTTAGAAGCTCACAGCACTTCTCATACGTAAGTTTAAATGCAATTTTTATAGAAGTATAAATAAAACATTTTATTACAAAAAAAAAAAAAAAAAGTTTGTCTTTATATAAAAACAAAATCATGCATGATACTTGGAAATCAATACAGATTCTGGACATACATTTTAACGATGCCCATTATTTTATAGCATATATATATGTAATAATAAAATTTAAAAAAAGTCAAAAATACACTTAAAATTCTAACTGTCTGTTCTTTTCATTTTTAATGGCGACGTTCTCTATTTTGAAAGTACGTGGAATTAAATCCACAGCCCCATAGTCAAGTTGTTTTTCCCGCCTTTTCTACACGTACAGTTATAGAATGTTCTGGAAATATTTAAAGCGAACTGGATTGGCTGATGAAGCTGACGTCGTTTCTTGGAAGCTCCGCATTTCCAGAGGCTATAAAAGGACTCCCAAAAGAATATCGGTGCTTTTTCTTAAATGTCACGATGCAGTAAACTTCATACGAAAAGTTATTAGTAATTTTTTTATTTACTCCGGATATCTGATTTTGTAACTGCTATTTCTCCTGAATAATAATAAATGGATCCTGTTTTTTAAACTTATCGTCTGATAATTTAAGCTACGACTACATTTATGATTCTTCAACAATCTATTTATTCCTGACAAAAGCTGGTACATCACATATATATATATACTAAAAAATCATGAAATATTGCTAATAGGCATCATTGATTTTACGGCATAGTACAAGTTTATCTTTTATCAACAGAAAACTCTTCTAGGCTCTTAAACCTGGAATGTCACAGTCCATTAAATGCGCAAATTCATTACAAAAATGTTCAGATTTAAAGGTATTATTCTGTTGTAGTCTTAATAATTTCATTTTTCAAAGATTGAATGCTAATCTTAATGATGCCTTAGGGAGATTCAATCTTTTTGCACGAATAATAACATAATTTTAAGACTAGACAAAACTAATTGCCAATTTTTTACCTTGAATAGACAGCTTTTCTTACCGTACCTTCTTTATCATGGTGAAATAATCTCTGTTAGTAATAATATTACCTATTGGGATGCAAACTTTATTCACATCTGAATTAGAATGAATATATTTCTTAGATAAAGGAAAAAATTGAAATGAGACTTCTAATTTTGAAATGGCTGCAGGCTGCCATTGGGGGTGAAGCAGATAAACTTTAATAAATATGCCTAAAATGTGCATTCAACCCTTATTTTATTACTGAAGTTTTGGTGTTGGCTTCCATCAATTCAGTCAACATTTTGTCAAGATCACAAAACCAATCTCTTCGCCTAATAACAGGTGCAGTTAAATCCACCTGGATTGTGGCTATGGAAGCATTAAACCAATATTTTTCCTGTCATGCATGACATTCGTAAAAATGCTGCAGTTTTGTTTCAAGAACTTATTAGGCTCCCAATAATAAATATTAGAGGAATTACAATTTTAACAATGGTAGAAATTTAGATGCAAGTGGGTTTCAATCGAATTGGTTATAAATTAGCAGAAGACCTAGACCTTGTTCAAAAAATGAATGTAATGGCTGTACCTTTGTGTCCTCTTGATTATGGTGACTTTTTCTCTTGATTATTGTGACAAATTGGCTCGTGTATATCTCGAATGTGAGAAAATCGAAGAGTGAAATGCCCACTGCCTAGATCAGAGCCATTGCTTTTGAAACTATTGAGAGAAGATATCCCAGTAACCCATGTTTATACTTATGGATCCATGATTCAACGAATTACTGGAGCTGGTACAAGAATCTATTGTGACCATTTTGTGTTCTATAAGGCAGTGGGAAGAGATACAACCTGTTTTGATGGTGAAGTTGAGGCTATATTTATTGCTATGAATCAGTTAAGCACTCAGAAAATTAATTTCTCTTGTGTTCTTAAATTTGTCTGATAGCAAAGTTGCTTTGCAGGCTATCTTTAACAATAAATTTTGTACTTCCCAAAGAATTTACAAATGTAGGAAGGTTTTCAACACTCTGGCTGACTCAATTGTCTTGCAGTGGATTTCTGCGCATTGTGGCATCGAGGGAAATGAAAGAGCTGATTTCTTGGCAAAGAAAGAAATGATTATTCTACAAACCACTAATAACCATGTGATTTTTAATTCTGCAAAACTCCTAATTAAATTAGAATTTAAGAAGAGGTTTGCTTCCTACCTATCAAACGAGGCTAAGGGAAAGGCCTGGGGCAGTTTCACCAGTTATTCCAGATTTTCCTCGTCATGTAGCCCATGGCGTTATTTTGTTTTTTGACTGAACACGGTTGTCTGAATGCCCATCTTTATAAAATTTGACTTAAGGACTCATCTGTCTGTACTCTAGTAACTCCGGACAGTCCATGGATAAGGAGCATATTGAAAAATGCACTGCACTATTATCTTTTAATTCTATTAGTCTTAAGTATTGGGAAGCAAAATAAAGATTAATGGCTTAGTGGCAAAATGTCTGGCATTTGTCTAAATAAATAAATACAAATTTCACTGTTCATCTTTCCATCTACATAAACATGAGTTGGTATCTCATTAAGAATTGCTATAGTAAACTATTTTTAACATGGCATGTACTTTATTTTTTCTGTGTTTGTGTGATAAGTCACTAAATATCACACATGATTTCAGCTTAGTACTAGATGGCATTTAAAGAAAAAGTTGTGTGGTTGAAATAAGCAGCAGATAATATAAACAAGATTTTATGCTTCTATGTTAATAATATTCTCAACTGCTCCATGTAAATATTTCAACAAGCAGATGTGTATGCAGTCAGTCTATTACAAAGATTAAATTTATCCAGAGTGTTTCTATCATTTAGAAGTAGTATTAAAAATTACTGTATGTAATAAATGTATTAACTGGCTGTAAAAATTTACTGTATGATGCAAAAAATAACAGAGAATGAAATTATTCACTGAAAGTGTTTTCTTCCTATAATTCATTTTTTACACCAAAATACCCTTTCCTTATAAAAAATTCATACTTTTTCCTTCATTTCTAAAAAAAAAAGAGATTTCCCCAGCCCTTTTTATGCCTAAAAATTTAAATTAACAAAATTTCAACATGAAGTCATGTTTGTTTTAGTTTCTAATAAATTTAATCTATTTTAAGTTTTTTCTCCCTTTTGAATAATAATTAAGACCTTTTAAATTATTGTGCATGATTTGCTGCTAATAATTGTAGTTTTACAATGATATATTCCCGAACATTCAGAAATGCACTAATTCTCATTAAATTTAATTTTACATTAAGTAAGACAGCATTAGCAGTGCAGTGTTTATAAATCTAGACAGAGTGTGAGATTGCATGTTAGGAATTATAATAAAATCATATAATATATACAATAGCTGTATGATTTTATTGTCACTATGAAGAGTCATTTATGCAAATAAGTTCTGCAAAAAAAGAACTGCAAGTGATAGAAAAAATTGTAATAGATTGGGATAGTATCTAAAATGAGTAATGAGCAGTAAATGTGCTTGATATAGATGCAGCAAAACATTAAGGAGGAAAAAAAAAAAAAAAAAAGTGTTTGAGATTGATAATCAGAAAGTATTATAATAACCAAATGTTGTTGCCTACTAAAGGAAACCAAAAGGTATCAGTTAATGCATGAATGTTGTAATAAAAACTGTGACTTTTAAAATCATTTTATATAGTTCCATTTGCATTTTAAAATGTTTATTTTTATAGTTAAGTTTATGTAATAGAGCATTTGAAGAAAGGAATATTTCTTTTTTTTAATGATATTTGCAATTAAGTAATAAAGCTCAAAAAGAAGAAGAAAAAGTTCCCCCCCCTCTTCTTTTTTAGCTTTATTTAGCTTAAGCATTTTTTCTGTGTCTTTGAACTTCAATATATTGATAATCTTGTATTTTACAGAGATAATCAGACGTTTTTGAAGGAAACTATAAATGCTGTTCTTGAAGGAGAAGGAGTTGGATGGTTAAAATTGAGCAGAGTAAAAAAATTGATGGAAGATGAAAATTATCGCAATTTGGTTGTATCTAGGCTCAATAAAACTCTTGAAAGAAAAATTGGACCCGATGACCACATAGATGATGTGGTAAGATTTTCATCATTACATTTTCTATGTTGTATTTCAAAACAAGAATTCAAATCATGTACTTTTTTCATACCTAAAACAATAATAAATCTATTGCATAAATTCATTAAAAATTGATTTTGGTTGAATAAGATTGAAAAGGGGAAAACTTTCAAATGTTTTACTTTTTTAGTAAATACATTAAT